TAAACTAGCTATATATTTTATATAATCCATAAATATTAAAAAACATTATACATTTAAAGTAGCCTAATGGAACATTATATGTTATAACATCTAAACTATTGTTTAGGCTACAGGCTAAATAAAGGCGCCTTTTCGGAGCTGTTCAGCGCGTGTGTCAAAGAAAAGACACAATCTCAATAAAAACTTAGGCTATTTACAATATCTAAAGGGATATAAAACATCTAACATGCATCTCCATTCTCAACGAGTTTCTGTGTTCTGCATCCTTCACAGATCGAGTTCTTATTCCGAGGTAATCTGTGAATATTCTCATTTATAGAAGAGTCTGTAAAGGCTGTTCTGGCACATTCAAATCACTTGGTTAAAGGTGAAACTGACCGGCGCAACGGATGATTTTGTCATATAGAGTAAATACAATTATAATACAGGATAGGAACTATAAATATTTCACTTTAATTTCATATTATTATTTTATTAAACAAACAAAACAGTTTGTGTTTTGGCGCTGCATGTATTGTGCATCTTATTTTGAAGCGTTTCAGCTTAAATGTTATTCTTCCTTTTTATTTTTATTGTATTTTTAATAATTTTAATTATACAAAACAAAATTGGTTCCAAACAGATATATTTTCCTATAGGCTATGATGAAGTGTATATTTTTGTTCAAACAGGTCCTATACAAAACTGTGTGGATGGATGATTTGTTTCTCCGTGAAAACTAAGGATTTCAATCATGCATTTAATAAGCAAAACAGGTTGTTTAGCTTGCCTCAAACTGAATGGACAATTTACAAATATTTTAAATACAAAGGCTGGTTATTTTACCAGTGAGGCACAATATTACAAATTAAAGAAAATTAAAGTGCATAGTAAAACGAAAATATATAAGCTTTACAACAACAGATCCTACCTCCTAAGAAATGACTTTAGATAATGTAAATAAGCATCAAGTTTTGTTTGAGATTGTGTCCTCTAATTCAGTAGTGTTGCCATAAAAGAGACATACGTTAGACATACTGGGTGCCTTATTTATTGTCAAAATAATGTGCAATTTTATTATCAACTATAATGTGTTTAATTAGTTAATTAAATTTTTTTGTCATTATTCCTTTAATAACTGTTGAGTGAAAAAATGCGCTAGAAATATGCATTGCAACTCACTTTATTGTACAGGCTTATTGCACTTAAACTTTTTTAGGTTCGGCTCTCGAATTAGTAAGGTTATGAGTAAATGTTATTTAAAATATTTCGCAAGGCCTGCCATCTAGCCTACAATAACAGCAAATTACAAAAAAATAATAAGACAGGCCTACTTTGGCGTTGCAATAAAATAGTATTAATTATCAAATAAATAATTACAATATATAATTAAAATAGGAAGAAATAAATGAAAACAAATGGTACCCTTTGTTTTTATAGCAGGGCCCAAAGTGTTCTTATTCTGGTTCTGCTAACAACTATTAAAAAGAAAAAAAAAAACACCAAACAATAAAAAAACTAGTAACTGATAATAATAATAATAATAATAATAATAATAATAATAATAATAATAATTATTATTATTATTATTATTATTATTATTATTATTATTATTATTATTATTATAAAGCCCTTGCTCTGAAACAATCATGCAAACCAGGTGCTGCTCGGAAATGGCTATCTTTGCTCTGCATCAGGTGCACAGCAGCAAGAAGCTTGGCAGTGAACTATGACCTTATTTTAATGACAAATGTCTTAGAATACTGCTTTACGTGTTTATTTAATTTATACATACGCAATGAATGTAAGCCTGCTAACTGTGTGTGGTTCAAATGATAGAATATGTAAACTTAGTTAATATATAATTAAATAATAATAATTAAAAGCCTGCGTGTAAGGCTTTTATTTTGAGGGCGACGTCACGAGCGCAGATTTGGTTGACCAATTAGAGGAAAGTGGGCGTTTCAGCACCGCCTACATGTGTAAAATGAATTTTAAAGTCGTTTATCTGTTTTCCTACCCTAAACCAAAAAACGAAAATCCAGCCAAAATCTTGTTTTTTCGTTTTCTCGTGAGCAAAAGAAAAACGGAAAAATGGCCGTTTTCTCCATTTCCTTTATTCCGTTTAAAAATGGAAACCAAATGAACAAAACGTACACGGACCACCCACCACACACACAACATACTCTCCAAATGCATAGCACAATCAGAAAAGGCTACCTATCCTTTCATATAGACCACACTCTAGATGCAATGTATATTCTCGTCTTTTTCGGATTTCTCAGATGTTCTGAATTTACAGTGACACCAAATTTCGATCCCACTGTCCACCCACCATCACAGATCTGACCTTGACTGACGAGGAAACAATTTCCTTCCTCATCAAGCAAAGTAAACAGATCAATCCAGAAAAGGACATTGCATCTTCATATTCAATATTCCCTTCTCCACAATCCCGTTCCAAATACTCCTAGCTTCATACACTATAGGAAACACTAAGCGCAAGTCCCCTAGCCCTCTTTTCATAGATGATGCACACCACCCAGTAACATGTTTTGGTTCCAAAAACACCCTAAAGTCATAGGACTTTTCAGGCTTCCATCAGATTCATAATGCAGTCACTCATACAGAATTGGAGTCGCCACCACAGCAGCACACAAAGGGTTATCGCAACAACACCTACAAACACTAGGTAGGTGGTCTCCCAACGCCTTCAAATCTTATATCTGACTCAGCCACAGTCATCTCAGGGAAGCTCAGAGGACCCTCACCAGCAGACGCAGTAATCCAAGCGGCCAAGGGCATGTGCCTAGTCCAGGGAGAGAATACGACCCAACCATACCAGCTTCCCGAGGGCAGAGGAACTAACCAGTCTCCCAAGGGCGCGGGCACGACCCAGCCATCTAGCTTCCTTTCTTCCTTCCAGCTGATTTGCACTCAGCCTTCTCCCCCTTTTCACTCACCTAACTCTAGTTATCTAGTTCTCTCCCTGCCCAGGCCCCCCTGTATATATATATATGCACCCACGCATATAAATATATATTTATATATAGTGCTGTCACCCTCACGCTCTAACTCCCGTGGAGTTAATCCCGAGCACCCAACTGCCATTTCACCCTCCAGCTGGGGCTTCACCGACCATTCCTTTTCCCGACTCCAGCTGGAGATAGCACATACAGCTCTCTCTCCCGCAGGAGAGCCAAGAGCTTCGTCTCTAGCAAAAGTCAGTAACCAGCCCCCCCCCCCCCCCCCCCCCAAAGGCCTTAGATTACCCCATTATATATTTATATATCTATATGTTTCATATAAATATATAATTATATATAGTGCTGCCACCTCCCAGCTCTTTCTCTGCAAGGAGTGTTCCTCGAGAAAATTACTCCGTCAGAGTCCCCGCCCCCCCTGCCCCCCTTCACCCCCCTCTCCAGCCGGAGTCCTTCCTTCCCCTTCCCTTATAATGACTCCAGCAGGATTCCCGCCCACCCCATGGCTCTGACCCCCGCAGGGGTCTCCCCGAGTCTCTACTCCCCCGCAGGAGTATTCACAGCCCACGCCAACTCTGCTCGGGTTCCCGCAGGAACCTGTTTCACCCTTTGCTCCAAAGGAGCCCCTTTACCTTTTCTTTTTCAAAAAACTATATCCAGCAGCCGGATATAGCATTTTAAGCCTTTTTGGGAGTTTCTTCGAATACACGGCTGCTGTCCCGAGCTTCATGCATTTGGGGAGCTCTCGAGAACCACCTGATCTCGTACTCCCCTCACATGCTCTATGGACCTGGCGGGAGCCCTGGGCTCAACTATTTCTGAGCTCAGGGTTCTCTCCCGGGACAGCATGCCAAACCTGCTTACAGTTGTCAAGCAATATCTAAGTGTGAACTCTTGAAGTGAAGTTTTGAAACTAATTTCGAGACGAGCACGCGATATAATTGACTGCAGCTGGCCACCTATCTACACTCATTAGTTAGCCAATCAGATCTATCCTAACTCACTATAAGTAGCCTAGCTAGATATTTTTTCCTTATCTTCGTTCCCTTATCTAAGTGTGAACTCTTGAAACAAACATTTTAACACAACAGTTGGATTTGTCCGTATTTTACCCAAATTTGGCCTAGTTGAATGCAACCTACACATAGCATTTAACTATTTTACTATTCAAGAGTTCACACTTAGATATTGTTTGACAACTGTTAGCAAGTTAGCAGGTTTGGCATGCTGTCCAGGGAGAGAGCCCTGAGCTTGGAAATAGTTGAGCCCAGGGCTCCCGCCTGGTCCATAGAGCTTGTGAGGGGAGTACAAGATCAGGTGGTTCTCGAGAGCTCCCCGTGGTAAAGGAGGAGAAGGGGTGGATGGGGGTTTCTTCTGAAAACGAAGTTGAGACATAGTTCCAACTAGGCTACTTATAGTGGGTTTGGATCAATCTGATTGACTAGCTAATGTGCGTAGATGAGTGGCCAGCAGCAGTCAATTATATCGCATGCTCCTCTCAAATTAGTTTGTGAAACTTCACTTAAAGAAACAATTCACCCTCAAATTAAAAATTCTAATAAAAAAAAAATCCAACTGGAAAATTCCAGTTTTTGTCAGTTGCTTTGCTACAATCTCAGATCAGAATTGAAGTTCTCAAAACTACCTGTTCTCAAAAGCCCACTCCAGAGTACCTGTTATACTGATAACATGACTAGTAATTTGTAAAAGAGAACTTGTCATTCTGACATCATTGACTTGTTTATTGTTACATAAATTTAGTTTTGAAACTAGGTTTTGCAGGTAAATGCTATGTTCCTTTGCCACAGTGGTTGCTGTAGTTTGGCTTCTTTAGCTAGAAAAGGTGCTGAGTGACGCGTGTCTGGCATTCTTATACACAACTAATTGTGATTGCTGCGAGCTTGGTTTTCCACATTTCATAGTAACAGCTTCACTTTCTTTCAATAAGTATATGTAAACAGTATTTTTAATTGGTGCCTAATCCTTTAGTACAAGTAACATTTTAAAGAAGAAATGTCACTTTTTAAGTCCAAATACCTCTGTTCTCTGTACAGTTACAGCATTCTTGCTGAACTGTAGCTGCGTCTTCCAATTCTGTGTTGGTGCAGCAGGGCAGACAGCGCCCCTCTGAGGCCAGGATGAACTGTGCTGGACAAATAGTGCAGTTATGAGGACCAGGACCTTTACATTCCAAACAGGACTCATCACATGACTCACAGTTATAGTCCTGCTCCTGTAAAGAGATCATAACAGCTATCAGATGACAAAAATCATAAAAAATGTTGTAGCTGGTTAGATTACACTATAACTGAATTTTACCTCAGACTTAGCATACTCTCCTGTGATGCATGGTGACTCACAAACACCCCCTGTGAGTGTAAAACCTGGATAACATGTGTCACAGTCCTCAACACTCTTGCCTGTTAATCAAAATATTTAAATAATATTTAGTTAAAATTGTCTATCATACCCCATTTAAATATGGAAATTCATGTAAAAAGAAAAAATGTGGTCAGGATTTGCCCAGAAAGGACACTCAAAAATACCAGAGAAAAAGAAATCCAATGATAATTAAATTGTCCATTCACTGTTACTTATTGTAGTATACACAATGTCAGTTTGAACAAATATAAGTAATCATAAAGTCTATTTATGTTTGTTCTCATAAAGAAATGACAAAATAAAAGTCTATCATCTAAGACATAAAACAAAATGTTTCTGTATAATTATTTCTGTCAAATATGTATGCAATATGCAAAATATTTGTCTAACCTTTTTAATATAGCAGGAAAACTTGACAACCTCTATTTGTGGTTCTTTGTCGCTTTTGAAACACTGTCCTTTTTGTCGTCAGATGTCATATTTTTTAATGATGAGATTGCGATTTAATACATTTAAAATATATTTACCTCAATTTAATATTGAATATTACACTAGTGTAAAAGTGCATTACTAGTGCCAATGAATGTTGGTAAGCATATAATGTAACTCTATTTAAAGCATCACAAAAGATTATTAAAATAATCATTTAAAATATACTTGAAAATAAAATCTTTAATTTGGCATTATTACATTGTGCACTTTTTTTTCATGAAAGCATACTCAATTTAAATGAATTTTTAAATGCCCTTTCCTTTAATTAATTTCAGCTTTAACAAATTTTTTATGCTCTTAATATATGCAGTACACTACAAGTGTGCTTTTAATACAACAAAGTACTCTTTTAATAGGTATGTTTAGTAAATCGACAAGTTTGAGAGAAATATTGTTCCATACCTATGCATGTCCTGCAGCTGGGGTGGCAGGCTTCACATGTTTTGTGGTGTGTGTCATGATAGTATGATTCGGGACAGGAGGACACACAGCGTCCCTGTTTTCTAATAAACAGCATCCCCTGTCTGCAGCTCACACACCCCTCTGCCCCTGCCTGAAGACACTCTCCACAGCTCTCATCACACCGCTCGCACGTACTAGACACAGCTGAAGCGTAGTACCTGGAAAAATACATTCAATTATTTTAAACAGAAAGCTTAATGCATTCTCTATTAAAATGATAAATATATTAGTGTCAACACAACAAACAATCAAAAGAGGGTTTCCGCAGTTTTTATGTAGGTAATTAAAACTTTTCTGAATACCTTTTTAAGACCAAGTAAAGAAAATGGCCCCGGAAAAGCAGATGAAAATGAATGAATGAATTATTTAATCCTTACTGCTTCAATTTAAAATGAAACATGAGGAAACAATTCCTTAAGAAAATCAATGCCATGATCATGTCAGTTTAATACTTTCTGCTCTGATTTAAGACCTTTTTAAGACTTTATTAAGACTAATGAAACCCATATAAAAATATTAGATACAATTTTATATTAAAGGAAAACAAAATTGCGGAATTGTGGTAAATTAGCCACATTGGAGGGTCTTTCTAATGTCATGGCACAGCACCTCAATAGGGTTCAGTCTAGCACATTGACTAGGCCACTCTAAAGTCTTTATTTAATATTTTTTTCAAGCACTGTGAAGTAAACATGCTGATGTGCCTTGGATCATTGTCTTGCTGCTGAACCCAATTTTGGATTTCACTAACACATGGCTGGAGATTGTCCATCAGGATATTTTGGTACACAGCAGAATTTATTATTCACACACCTTCTACAACTTTTGTCTCATCAGTCTACGGAGTATTTTACTTTGATGTAATGTTTTTAAAATAACTAATTAAATACCCATTTGTAAGAATAAATTAGCCATATGCTTTACTACAGGTATTGTATATTGTAGTTACCCAGAGCGGCATGTGTCCACACATTCTTTGACGTCTCTATAAAGGTGATCTCTGCAGCTCAGGCACTCATGGCTGTGTCGTCCCATGCAGGTCAGACAGTTTGGATGACAGGGTTCACAGCGCTGTGTCTCCCCACTGAAGTATTCATCTGGACAATTGTTCACACAGCTGCCATCTGTAAATGAAAAATGGAAGTTTTGTTCAGAATAAAGTCTATGACATATTGTTTAAGCCTCTATAGTTATCATTATATTAGAATGTGGGATTAATGTATTTACATGGCTCATTCTAACTAATCAATACATGTACACTAATTAACAAGCTACACAATCCTATTTAAGATTTAAGTATCATGAGAAACCTAAATCAAAATGCTTTTTATTGATGTACTGTAGGGATAAGACAATATTGAGCAGAGAAACTATTTGAAAACATGGAATATGTAACAACAACTATTGACAAAATTGCCCCTACATTTGTCCAAATTAAACTCTTCATGATATTTTCAAAATATTATAATGATTTCTGAGATCAAATAAATGTGAACTATTCCCACAAACCTAACTCCTAAACTTAAGACTAGTTTGTGGTCTATTGTCACATATTTAAGATTGTTAAATGTACTGTTATTAAAATTTATTTTTTCCAAATGGGGATTTTTTGAATCCTCAGACTATTTGTGCCTGAAGGTTAAAAAAAATCATAATACTGAGAAAACCACTTTTAAAGTAGTTTTACACAAGACATATTTCTAATCAAATGTTGTCTGATTGATTTATTTCTGGAAGAAAATTTGCAAAATGTCTCAACGACAGATGACATTTATGTGATATTCTAATGATAAAAATCAATAATATTGGCTAATACAAAAGATTCTTCACTATTCCCACAAATATACTTGTGTTACATAAGACAAATAGTTTTGTGGTTCAGGGTCAGATATAAAAAAATAATTTTATTTAAATAAGGCACATTTATTCAGACTAAGCTTTCTCCATTCTCTGATTTACATGTACATCCTCCTCTTCTTCTACATCAATAGAGTAACAGGCACCAGTTGCATGAACTCACTAAGCAGATAATGTTTCTGGTTGCAGCTGAGACATTGGTCCTGATGTGGGCCAGAGCACTCGTGACAGTACTTATGACATAAATGGCATTCTCCATCCTGGTTACTGTAATGATGTGAGGGGCATGTGGTGGGTGTGGCACAGCGTCCATGGGCATCCATCTTCAGGCCCTCAGAGCAGCTGGTGCAGGACGTGTCGTGTGGACCAGAGCAGGTTAAACAGGAACTATCACAGTCTGCAGAGCAGAGACATCACACGATCAGCATTATCTGGTCTAATAATTTATAGAATAATCAATTAAATTGTGCTTTAACAGTATCATAATTGTTAATTTCATTTTACTAGTTACATTTATTTATTTTGCAGTTATACAAAGGAATTTTCAGAAGAGCTGCTAATTTTTTTTCCCCTGAAACATTTTGATACATTTCTCTGATCAGTTCAATCCTTATATCACAATGTCAATTGTGCATATCAAAAAAGCATTTTAAAACAAATTTTGTCTTCTTTGGTACATTGATACAATTGATTATGTGCAATTTTAAGCTGTTCAAAAGCATTTTCAATTGTTTGTCAAAAAATGCATAAAATTCTAATTCTTTGTTAAATACCCCCCCCCCCCCCCATACCCCCCAATTTCTGTTTTCAACACATTTCTAAACATAATAGTTTTAATAATCATTTAAGGCTTAACTAGGTTAATTAGGTTATCTACGCACCGTTTCCCAAAATCATCGTTAGCTAACTAAGGCCGCAATTTCTGTCGTTACAAACATAGTTTGTTGACTTGCTGTTTCCCAAATCTGTCGCTCCAATTAACATTGCATCGCAAACTGTGTCGCAAACTTCGCAACTACACCTTGAGAGCTGTAGTTTGAAACATGTTCCTGGCTGTGTTCTATTTCCACTAATCCTCCCTATGCCCTATTCATTTAGAACATTTTAACATTCAAAGTTGGAATTATAAAAAATAAAAATGAATTAAGGTCATCTTTTTTAGGTGTAATTTGCTCTCTAACTATTTTTGCAGTTCAGTTTTAGCGATTTTCATGTTTACAATTGTGCTCTCTTCACAGTGCACTTTGAAAACATTGACGTAATTTTGAACACAGCCTCATGGCGAAAGCTATAGATGACCTATTATTTAAAATCGGAATTTATGTTACGTCTCCAAAGCTTGTGAAAACAAAAAGCATTGATTAATTCTTTTTATTTATAGTATATGTACTGTATATGACATGGGCCTGCTGGTTCCTTTCTGCTGTGGTTTACAAGTGTCAAATTGTAAAAGTAGACTTTTCTAAAAAAAAACCAATAAAAACATCCTGTCTATTAATAATAATAATAATAATAATAATAATTGTCATTAATATTATTAATATTATTAAATTTTCTTTTTTCATTTCTAATATATTCTAAAAGTTATTGTACTTATTTATTTTATTTGTTTGTTTTCTTTATGGCTTAGTCCCTTTATTTATTCGGGGTCACCACAGCGGAATGAACCGCCAACTCATCCAGCATGTTTTTACGCAGTAGATGCCCTTCCAGCGCTAACCCATCTCTGGGAATCACCCACACACTCATTCACTATGGACAATTTAGCCTACCCAATTTACCTGTACCTCATGTCTTTGGACTGTGGGGGAAACTGGAGCACCCGGAGGAAACCCAGCGAACACAGAGAGAACATGCAAACTCCACACAAAAGCGCCAACTGACCCAGCCGAGGCAGGAACCAGCGACCTTCTTGCAGTGAGGTGGCAGCACTACCTACTGCGCCACTGTGTCACCTTTTTATGTATGTATTTATTTATATGATTTATAAATAATATTAGATTACGTGTTAGCTTTTGTAAGTGATTTTATGTTTTAAAATAGGACATATCATATTCTCAATAATATTTGTAAAAAAAAAACATTGGCCCTATGTGCCATTTACATATATTTCAGTTAATATGGAAAGCGAAGGCATGTTTATATCAAATCTATTATTGGATTTTATTTTAAATGCGTCTGTAAAACAATATAATTTGTACAAAGAAAGGATGGGAATCATTCTTTAAAGAAGTAGTTACTTAGAGCGTCATTATGGGCATTTTACGTTATAACTAACATGGTTCAAGCGATGGATCTGCAACAGAGAAACTATGGGTTTTGGGAAGCACTCGTCACTACATCGTTCTTTTCCCAAACGATGCATTGTACTATGATAGTTCAGCCACGAGTTACGTCGTTGTTTGGGAAATGCAGCCCAGGTTAGGGTAATTAGGCAAGTCATCGTATAATAATTGTTTGCTCTGTAGACTATAAAAACACATAGCTTAAAGGGGCTAATAACTTTGACATTAAAATATTTTTTTAACAAAGTGAAATCTGCTTTTATTCTTTATTTCATTATTTATTCTTTCTGTTAAACATCATTTAGGAAATATTTAAAAATAAAACAATAAAAAGGGGGCAGTTGTCATTCTGGTGGCAATTAAATAATTTATTAAATAAATAAATTAATAATAAAAAAAAGAACATAAAAAACAGTAGAGGAAAAGTATGAAAATGATTTAAGAAATGTCCAAACAAGACTGAAAAAAAGTAATTTCCCACAGAGCATACAATGGGAATTTCATAAGGCTCTTTTAAATATATAAGCACATAAGATCTATATTTTTCATTAAAACATTGTCAAACACATATTTGTGGTTATTTATATTACTTTAATAAATTACAAAATGTTATAAGACAAGGGGGATTTTTAGAAGAGTGAATGTAGGCTCACCTATGCACTCTCCTGATCTGCTTTCCCTGTATGTATGTGAGGAGCAGGGAGTTAGACATGCTCCGTAGTGCAGTGTGCTGTCACTGTCTGAACAGGCATCACAGTTGTTTGATTCAGGTCCATCACATAATGAACAATCCACATGGCAACGTTTACAAATGCCTTGATTCATGTCTTCAAAAAACCCATCAGGACACACGGCTATGCACTGACCCACATGCAGGAAGTAGTCTTCTTTACACCCTATAGTTAAAGAACACAACCATTAAAGAGACAAATGAGATATTTAATGACCAATTGTAAAAATAGATTTTTTTTTTCTAATTAGGCATTCAGTGCTCAGTTTCACTTCATTTTAAGGTGTTTCTGTTATAGTGTAACTAATATGTTACCGCAGAGTAATACACTGTAAAACCCAATAAGTTAAGGCAACTCAAATCATTTGAGGTAACCGATTGCTAAAATCCATTTGAGTTCATAAACAAATCCTAATGAGTACTGTGAACCTACTCCATTTAGGTTAAAGTAATGAGATAATTAGTTAGTAGCAGGTGTACATTGTTAATGCTCAATCAACACTTATTTACTCATTAACTTCAACAATGAGTTCAAAACTCTTTTCAAAGGAGTAGAATTAACAAGGTATTTTGTGTGAAGTTTGCATGTTCTCCCCATGTTTGCGTGGATTTCCTCCGGTTTCCCCCCCCCCAAGTCCAAAAACATGTGGTATAGGTGAATTGGTTAAGCTAAATTGTCTGTAGTTTAAGTATTTAAATGAGAGTGTATGGATGTTTCCCAGTGATGGGTTGCAGGTGGAAAGGCATCTGCTGCATAAAACATGCTGGATAAGTTGGCGGTTCATTCCGCTGATTAATAAAGGGACTAAGCCGAAAAGAAAATGAATGAATGAATGAATGAATGAATGAATGAATGAATGAATGAATGAATTTTATGTTAACTATACCCTCTTTTAAATTGATAAATTTGACTGTTGGGTTTTACAGTGTATTGACTACATTTACATTTAGTCATTTAGCAGATGCTTTTATCCAGTGTATTGACTACCTACATTTACTACTGTATATGGTCAAGTATAGGATGGTGATTCCATCATCCTAAGGTCAGTGAGTTTTTGTATAGTACCTTATATAAGCTCTGTGGTTGACATAACTGAATATATTATCCTGTTTTTGAATTTCGTACACTACCATATATACATCAGTCACATTTTTTATATTTTAAAGCATTCAATTGATTGGAAAACGGCAAATAAGTGGCTAAAAGAGATGGTAGAGTTTGTAAGGACTTAACCAAATAATAAAAGCAAAAATATGCTTGATAAGATTAATGTTACAGAGAACATGCGAAAGTAATGTAAACAGATGTAATGTAATTGATGCTACAGAGTAAGGGCAATGGGATTGATCTAAACTGAACCAACATTGAAATTCAGATGTGATGTAAATCTAAATAAAAACACTATTGTCTTGTAGAGCTGCTTTACAACATACAGTAATTTAATTAATCTCTTTAGCTGGTCATTGAAACTATTTGTAACATGGTAAGATGCATGTTTTACCTCAGTGACAGCTGTTGTACGTCAATAAAATATCTTTATTGCTCTTATTTTGTCAATAAATCTTGAAAACCTGGATGATGTGTCTTACCTGTACAGCCATCCTCAGAGCAGATAGCACAGTTTTCTTGGCACTGCACACACTCCCCGTTGCTCACTGTGTGTGCAGATGGACAGCTCGACACACACTCATGTTTGTAGAGCAGAAGTGTCCCTTCACAGCTCATACAGTGTGTTGCATTCTTCTCACAGGACGTACAAGCAGATGCACAGCTCTTACACACCTGACCTACAGGGTATCCTCTGAACACATAATTCAGGTATACACTGTTTAATACAATATACATAATATCCTAAGGTAACAATTTATTTTAAGGTTTACTTGTTACACATTTTCTATGCACTTGCTATAATAATTCCATCTAATTATGCACAATTACATGCAAACAACCCTAGACCTAACCTTAATCATGACCCCAATCATATAGCAACTGCATGCAATTCATTTATAATACTAAGTATTTAAATGAATAATTACAGCATTACAAGGGCACTTTCAAATAAAGACTTACCCACCATGATTTTTACAACTGACCCATTATCATAATTTTTTTTTCATTTAAACGTAGTTTGCTGGTACAACAAGGGCACTTTCAAATAAAGAGTTCCCCTTCGGTTGGGGAACTTCAGTGCCATGAATGGGAGGATTCGGATCAGAAGCCGCTTATCTGGAGAGTATTGAACGGGCCAATGAATGAAATTAATTGGCAGCGTAAGCTTGCGCAGGTGTGCGACATCTGCAATTATCTCAGCATATAAGCACACCTGAAGCCAGCAGACGCCATCCTTTTCGCTTCAGATCCTTTCTGAGTGAGTCGATGAGGGTTCCTCTTGCTGATCAGCACTTCAGAGCGAACGAGTGTGTCTCCCGGTCCAGAGTGGGTCTTCGCGGTGGCAGACGGTCGAGCTGGGTTACTCCCTTGCCTGCGGTTCTTTGGGTCCGGTCCTCCAGAGCGGTGCGTATAGTTGCAACTTTCCTAAAAGAGCAACACAGTCGTGCAGCACGTCCTTTTCAGGATGGCGCTCCGACTGTGCGTTTCTGGATGCGGGGGTTTCCTGTCTCCGGATGATGGACACGATCACTGCATTGCATGTTTGGGGGTCCAGCATGTTAATGCGGTGCTCGCGGGCGGTTCATGTCGTCATTGCGATGCCATGACCGTTGCACAGCTAAGATCGCGGCTAACTTTCGCAAGAGAGCGAGCCACCCCAGTTGCCTCCTGCTCTAAAAAAGCAGCGGGCGCTCGGGCAGATCTGAGGGTTTCAGCGGGAGCTAATCCGCCGCCCACGGGCTCGCGGACCTTTCGCTCCTCACGGCGCTCCATCCAAGCTTCGGGTGGTGAGAGTGATCCGTCTAACCAGATGGTAGCTCTCACACTCGCTGACACCGGAGATCAGAGGTCCTCCGCGGCATCGGAGGGTGGGCTTTCACTGTCCGACGAAGATCCGGACCCGCTCGCCCCCTCCGGGCAGGTGAGCGCTGTCAAATCGGATCCTGAAGCGGACATGTTAGCCGTGCTTTCCCGGGCTGCTTCGGCCGTGGGGTTGGAGATGGTTTATCCCCCAGCTCCGCGGCCGGACCGACTAGATGGGTGCTACGTAGAGGACCAGAAGGCGAAGCCTTCGAAGCCTCTCGTCCCCTTCTTCCCGGAAGTGCACAGTAGGCTCACGCAGTCCTGGAGGGCACCTTTCTCTGCCCGTGCTGCGAGTGCCTCCGCCCTCACCGCCCTTGACGGCGGAGCTGCCAGGGGGTATGAGGCGATCCCGTCAGTGGAGCGCGCTATCGCGGTCAATCTTTGTCCGCGCGGCGCCTCTACGTGGCGGGGTTTGCCCCGCCTCCCGTCCAAAGCCTGTAGGTTGTCTGCCTCCCTCGGAGCCAGAGCTTATAAGGCTGCGGGCCAGGCTGCTTCTGCTTTGCACGCGATGGCCACCTACCAGCGCTACCAAGCGCAGGCGCTGGCCGAGCTGCACGAGGGCGGGTCCAAACCAAGCTTATTACATGAGCTGCGCACCGCGACCGACTATGCTCTTCGGACTACTAAGTCCGCCGCGTGTGCGCTGGGGAGGACGATGTCCACACTTGTGGTTCAGGAACGCCACCTCTGGCTAAACCTGGCCGATATGCGCGACGTTGACAAAGTTCGCTTTCTTGACTCGCCCATATCCCAGGCTGGCCTGTTCGGCGACACCGTCGGTGAATTCACCCAGGAATTCAGGGCGGTGAAAAAGCAGTCGGATGCGATGGGCAATGTCATCTATCGGCGTGGCCGTAAGCCCGCTCCGCCCGCCGAGCCATCCACCTCCGCTGTTCCTCGCCGAGGGCGCCCGCCAACGAGTGCTGCCCCGCCCCCGCCTGCGCCTCCGGCGCTCACCTCGAAAGCAGGCAGCCCCACCTGCCCAGGGTGCCGTTAAGTCCGGTAAACGGACCGCGAAGCGTCCCTGAGACAGGCCATCCGGAGAAGAGGAAACTTGCTCTTTCCCCGCTGGAGGGCGGGGCCCCGATAACAACGGTACTTTTCAGTGCCACCAAAACATCAGTAAAAGAGCACTTTTTCCCTTCCCCGGATGTGACTGCACGAGTTCTGCCAGTCCGGGACGCGCTGCCTTCCGGCTCGCAGACTCTACGTGCTTCGCCAGTGGCTCACGAGCGCTGGGGGGGCGGTCTCCCTTTCCTCAGCCCTCCAGCCCCCTCTCCGGAGTCAGGGTGAGGAGCCAGAGCGAATCGCTCTCCTCCAGCTCTTCCGCGGGACCCTCGTGCTTCCCGGATCGGCACACCCACTCCGCGCTGCCCCACCGCTGGTACGTCAGCGATTGTAGCGATGACTCCATTAGCGAGGGCTCTGCCTGCCTGGTCAGCGCGGGCCAGCCCCTCGCGGTGGCTCATACGCACAATCAGACTCGGTTACGCGATTCAGTTCGCGAAACGGCCCCCCAAGTTTACGGGCGTGTATTTCTCCAGGGTCAACCCCCTGTCCGCCCCTGTCTTGCGAGAGGAGATTGCTGCCCTCCTGGCGAAGGGTGCAATCGAGCCGGTTCCTCCAGCCGAGATGGAGAGTGGGTTTTACAGCCCATACTTCATCGTACCCAAAAAGAGCGGTGGGTCACGGCCAATCCTAGATCTGCGCGTTTTGAACCGCTGTCTGCACAAGCTGCCGTTCAGAATGCTCACGCAGAGGCGCATTCTCCAATGCGTTCGTCCTCGGGATTGGTTTGCAGCCATAGACCTGAAGGACGCGTATTTCCATGTCTCCATTCTTCCACGCCACCGGGTCGAGCGTGGCAGTACAAGGTCCTCCCCTTCGGGCTCTCTCTGTCTCCGCGGGTCTTCACCAAACTCGCGGAGGGTGCCCTAGCGCCCCTTCGGCTCGCGGGCATTCGCATACTCAATTATCTCGACAACTGGCTGATTTTAGCCCACTCGCGGGAGCAATTGATTATGCACAGGGACAAGGTGCTTAGGCATCTCCGCCTACTGGGGCTTCAGGTCAACCGAGAAAAGAGCAAACTCGCCCCCGTGCAGAGGATTTCTTTTCTCGGGATGGAGCTGGACTCGTTCACCATGGTAGCGCACCTCTCCGAGGAACGCGCTCGCCTGTTGCTGAACTGTCTGAGGGAGCTCGACAGCAAACTAGTGGTCCCACTGAAGTTCTTTCAGAGGCTCCTGGGGCATATGGCATCCGCAGCCGCCGTCACGCCGCTCGGGTTGCTCCATATGAGACCACTTCAGCACTGGCTTCACGATCGGGTCCCCAGACGCGCATGGCACGCGGGCACACACCGGGTCTCGGTTACTGCGCTGTGTCGCCGCGCCCTCAGCCCTTGGAACGACCCCTCGTTCCTACAGGCCGGTGTGCCTCTAGGACAGGCGTCCAGCCATGTTGTTGTTTCAACAGACGCTTCCAACACGGGTTGGGGGGCCGTGTGTCGCGGGCATGCGGCTGCGGGCCTCTGGAAGGGTGCCCAGCTGCATTGGCATATCAATCGCCTAGAGCTGTTGGCAGTGTTCCTCGCTCTCCACCACTTTTTACCGGTGCTGGAGCGGCAACACGTGCTGGTCAGGACGGACAGTATGGCGGCGTATATCAACCGCATGGGGGGTATGCGCTCTCGCCGCATGTCTCAGCTCGCCCGCCGTCTGCTCCTCTGGAGTCACCCGCGGCTGAAATCGCTGCGCGCCATTCACGTCCCAGGCACGCTCAATCGTGCAGCCGATGCGCTCTCACGACAGCTGTTACGCCCTGGAGAATGGAGACTCCACCCCGAGTGTGTTCAGCTGATATGGGCGCGATTCGGGGAGGCCCAGATCGATCTGTTTGCTTCCCCCGAGAACGCTCACTGCCAGTTGTTTTTTTCCCTGACCGAGGGCTCTCTCGGCACGGATGCACTGGCCCACAGCTGGCCTCGGGGCATGCGCAAGTATGCGTTTCCCCCAGTGAACCTGCTCGCGCAGTTTCTGTGCAAGGTCAGGGAGGACGAGGAACAGGTTCTGCTAGTTGCGCCCCTTTGGCCCAACCGGACCTGGATATCAGAGCTCTCACTCCTCGCGATGGCCCTCCCCTGGCGGATCCCTTTGAGAGAGGACCTACTCTCTCAGGGACAGGGCACCATCTGGCACCCTCGCCCCAATCTTTGGAACCTCCACGTGTGGTCCCTAGACGCGAGGAAGACTTAGGTAACCTACCGACTGCGGTGGTTAATACCATCACTCAGGCTAGAGCCCCCTCCACGAGGCGCGCCTACGCCCTGAAGTGGAGTCTATTCACTGAATGGTGCGTCTCTCACAGAGAAGACCCCCGAAATTGCCTGATTAGTGTTGTGCTCTCTTTCCTTCAAGAGAAGTTGGACAGCAGGCTGTCGCCCTCCACTCTCAAGGTTTACGTGGCCGCCATCTCCGCTTATCATAGCGCGGTAGCTGGCGGCACCGTGGGAAAGCATAACCTGGTCATCCAGTTCCTTAGGGGTGCTAGGCGAATTAATCCATCTCGCCCCCCTCTCATGCCCTCTTGGGATCTCGCCCTCGTTCTCACGAGTCTGCGATCCGATCCCTTTGAGCCACTCGAATCAGTATCTCTAAGATTTCTGTCCCTGAAGACAGCTCTGCTGGTTGCGTTGGCCTCCATCAAGAGGGTCGGGGACCTGGAGGCATTTTCGGTCAGTGACTCGTGCCTGGAATTCGGGCCGGATTACTCTCACGTCATCCTGAGACCCCGCCCCGGTTATGTGCCCAAGGTTCCTACCACCCC